GGGGGCAGAGGTGGCCCAGCCTCTGAGGGCTGAGTCCCTCCTGACGGCAAACGGGGGCCTCGAGGAGGGGCACCGGAAAGCTGGGAGAGGTGGGCCGGCCCACAGGCTGCTTCAGCCCTGCCTGCTGGATACAAAGGGCTTCATGCAAGACCCCGGAAAAGCAGCTGGACCCCGGGGGCACTTGGCCGAGGGCAGGGCTGGCGAAGGACCTCACCCCCTCAAGAAGGCTGTTCCCTAAGCGCAAACTTCATCAAACCATCCACTTGTTCCTTTGGGTTGACCAAGTTAGCTGCAGTCTTTCCCGACACCATTTTCCAGCTGGGCTGCTAAGATTAACCGATTCTCCCACCCCAAGTATTTTTCGAGAAGAACATTCACATAGAGATCAGCAAGGTCGTCTAGAAAAGAAGGCGAGCGGGGCCCTTCGGGCGAAGACAGTGCAGGTGGGACAAAGCCTACTTTATAATCCCTCGGGGGCCACTCTAAATCCAGGATGATCTCATTTCAAGAGCCTTAATTTAAGTATATCTGGAAAGACCCTATTTCCAAAATAAGGCCACATACACAGGTTCCAGGGTTCTGGTTCTGGGGGTTAGGAGGTGGACCCTCTTTTTGACTGAAGGAGGGGCACAATTTAACCAACTGTAGGGAGCAAGGAAGTAACTTTGGAGAAGTCTTGGGGTGATGGTGGGGTGGTCCGGAGCCGATGGCCAAGAAAGAATTCTCGGACGTCTTTGGTGCAAAAAGGTGATTTTATTAAAAAGGGGTGGTGACTGTTAGCCTGTACTTTGCCCTCAACTTGGTCCAAGCTCCCTCATCAACTTAGCTCGGGGAAGTAGAGGAAAGGCATCTCAGGCAGAGGGAACAGTAGGTGCAAAGCACAGCCCAGGGAAGCTCAAGGAACTGCAAGCAGTTGGGCGTGGTTGGTAAAAGGGGGCCCTCTGGGACAGGACAGGGGGTAGGTAGATCGCTGACCAGGTGCCAGCAGGTTCACAGCTGGCTCGAACTTGACCACGAAAGCAATGGCGAGCCACTGAAGGGTTTGCCTGGATTATTACCTCATTTGATTCTCCCCACCTCTCTCAGAAGCTAGGATTCTGATCCTCATTTACAGCCGAAAACACTGAGGCTCAAAGAGGTGAAGTCGTTTGCCCAAGAACAGACCGTTAGGAGCCCGTCAGAAATCGGATTGGCAATCAGGCCTCGTCTAACCCCTTAGGTGGGAAGATGAATGCAGCAGGGCTCTGTGTGTTCACGTAAGGCTATTCAGGAAGAAGGAAGGGCACAGAGGGAGGATTTTGCAGGGACCAAGCATCAGGGCCACAGCCCCGAGAACGGCTTTCCGCCGCTGCGCCTGGGGGACGCCATGTTGGTAGGCTGGGATCCCTCCCTGGCCACAGCGGATTGGTCCAGGCGTGGGTCACCTGACTAAAGGTAGGCCAATCAGACTCCCCTATCCCACTCTGCTGCCCAGTCTTTTTGACGCTGGAAGGTGACCAGGCTCCCGGCTCAGGGGGAGGAGACCTGTACATTCCGCCTCTGCAGGTGCTTTCCTCCATGGCTCCTATTGGGATAATGAGAAATCCTGGTGGTGAAGCTTCCTGCCCAAGGCCTGGCACGAAGGGAAGCCCTGGGCAAACATCAGCCAGCTCTGCGGGTAGTGTGAACAGAGAGAGGGGCTCTTGGCTGTGCAAAGGCCACCTCCCGCCTTGTGTATGAGGAGGAAGAGGAAGGCGGAGAGAGAGACAGAGACAGAGACAGAGACCGTAGATAGCTCTTGACAGTGTCCCAGGACTTGAATCCGATTGACGTGAGGCTTGGAGGCCCTCCCTCTGCTGACGCTCCAGGAAAGACTCGGTGGCCCCCAGTCGCCCCGACTCAGGTTGGCATAAATGGGTTTCTGTGATGGGCCATCAAAACCGAACCCGAACGAAACAATATAAAACACCAACTAAAACAACAGACACCTTGACTGGGACATCTGAGCAAGCCGGGGGCCCCCTGGGATCCGCTGGGACAGCGTTTGGATTCCTGCCCCACGCTCGGTTGCCACATAAAGAAACAGGCCCAAGTCACAGTGTGGGGCCACCGCCAAGGCTCCTGAGAGGCTACATCCTGCCTGTGACCGCCCAGAGCCCCTCCCCCCCCCCAAGGAGCACTCCCACGTGATCTGCCGCCCCACATTCCACACCCACACCTCCGGCTCTGAGATCGGCAGACGTCTGGCAAGTTCCATCTTCAGCCCTGGAACTTGTTGAACAGGTGCCTTGAGGTGGGCGAGTCCCCTGCCCGCGAGGCCCTACCCCGCCGGGCCCAGGCTGGAGCGTGTGTTGTGGGGGCGTCGCTTGGGGCCGTTGTGATTTCCCGAGTCACGTGCCAAGGCGAGCGGCTAACATTCGCCCCTTCCGCCGCCACCACCCGGTTGGAAGGATGCCATCGTCCGCATTGATGGCAGAGAGAGTTGAGGCTCGGTTACTGCTAGCTTCTTGCTCAAGGTTATCCAGTTTCTACATGTGGGAGCCAGACGTTCTTTTGCATGAGATCGGCAAGGCTGATCATGAACACCTTCAAATATAAACAGGGGGCAGAAAGTGGACTTACCAGCCAGCTACCATTGTTTCATCTATAGCCTCAACTTTTTTGCGAGAGCAGAGGCTGGCGTACTTTGTGTTTTATTACCATTTTAAAAAGTTCATTTTTGAGAGACAGCGTGAGCGGGGGAGGGGCAGAAAGGGAGGGGAACAGAGGATCCGAAGCGGGCTCTGTGCTGACAGCAGGGAGCCCA